AAACTGAACAAGGGGCAAAAAGTTTACCTTCTGTTTTCTCAAAACAGCATTTTTCGGGATAGCCCCCTTGTGCTTAAAAGCGACCAATTGTCATGTTTTCTGCCCTCATAGACGCCGTGTTCCTAATTGTGGGGCCGGGTTGTTTTAACCATACCTGTCACAGCTGACCCAGGCTGACTGGGGTATGTAACCCTAGCGGAAATATAGCGATACCTGATCAAACTCTACCCCCCCCCTCTTTCCTTGAAATTCGAAATCATGTCTTCCGCATGCAACAATAAAGAGACTAATCATTACACCACAAAGACTCAGGTTAGTTTCTCTCTTTAGCGTCGTCAAAATCACCAACAATAAATGAATACTCTATAAGACGTCATAATCAATAGTGTGACAATTGGATTCTGAAAGGAAAGACACGACAATCCCTTAACTTCGGTATATTTTGTGACCACAGAAAGCACTTCAATATGAAATTGAAATACGATGCAAGGAAAAAGATTTACAAAAGAACCAACAATATGAAACGAAAAAAAAACCCCTACAACCCCCCCCCCCCCCCGCCCCAGCAACTACAGTCTTGGTATCCAGACACACGCTGAGATCAAATAAGGAATCATGGTGCCTGTTTGGCTTGACCAACACAGCCATCCGGGTAGCTCAACTTCCACCTCATCAACATAACAATTATACTTTAATACAGGAACAATTCGAGAGCTTTAAAATCTACATTGTAGGGAGCAGAAACTCATAACAAGTCATTGAAACAAGAGTTGATCAGATCAAATTGCATCAATTTGATCTACACACGCAAGTTAGTGCAACCCTTTTCAATAACATAGAAGCGGTGATCTTTGTACAAGTAAAACAGTGGTATAAAGTTTGTCAGGGACATTTAAAGGTTATCCTTGTCTCTATGATTACTTCTTGTACTAACGTATTTTATTCTTAGAAGTAATCAACTGTTCGTATTCACAGAACTAGTCAGCAAAACAAGATAATATAACATATTATTATTATAACACAGACATATTAGTACCCTTTCTGTCAGAATTAATTTTGTTCCGAGGATTCTGCGCACGTGAACTCCATATGCGAGTTTATTTTCAACTTAGAATAGAATCACGTCGGATTAATAAGTCTGACCGAATTGAATGATAACCCCACGTACTTCATCTGAGCTCATTAATCTCTCGAGAACCGCTGAGTAATTATGCATGCACGTCTCGTGTCGTGATTCCCCACGTCGTTATCATCAGACCAGGCGCCGGAGACACATTGGAACGTCTTTTTTTTTAAAGACTGGCATCACGTGGAAAGTTTGGTTAAGATATTGAAGACTGTCTTGATATAAATGTTCTACTTATCGGTCTTGAATCTTTGAGTACTTAACTTGGTCCGCCGAAGATAAGACTCTTCATTGGGTAGATGAAAGAACCCCCCCCCCCCCCAAGTCTTAAGACTCTGTGATCTCTTTCAAAGTAAGACAGAAGGAGGATAGAATACACTTGAGTTTTGTATTTGTTTTTACTAGGGCGTGTGTTTTCTAGACGTTGAATATTTTTCTTGTTGCCCCAGTAAACACAGACAAGTACGTTCTCCAGACGTTGATGATTTTCTTCCCAAACAAATATAGCCAGGTCAATGTCGTTGTTTTCTAGATGTTGAAGATTTTCTTGTCGCCCCAAGATGTCTGTTTTCTAGGTGTTGAAGTTTTTTTGTTGCCCCCAACAAACAGAGACAGGACGTCTGTTTTCTAGACGTTGAAGATTTTCGTGTCCCCCAAAATATATATAGCCAGGTCCGTGCTCTAGACGTTGAAGTTTTTCTTGAGACCCCAGCAATCATAAACAGGTCCGTCCGTTTTCTATACGTTGAAGATTTTCTTGACGGTGTACCCCGGCATGGCGTAGAAGAAGAGGACGATCATGGCGGTGAGGAGGGCGATGATGAGGATCTTAATGATGACCCACTTGTAGTTGTGCCACAGGATGTAGCGCAGGGACTTGAACGGGTTCATGAACCACATGAACGAGGAGTCCGGACGGCTGAAACGGAGGATGGGTGGGGGAGAGGGTGGGTGAGAGGGTGGGAG